CTGGTGAGCGCACGCGCCCTATAGTGAAAAAAAACTCTCAAAAAAAAAAAGTATGTACCTCCATGGCATCTGTAGAGATTGCAAATATGGCCTCACTAGGGTTGTCCGAGCAATATGAAAGGGCCTGTTTGACCAACATAATATATTACTCAGTTTTTGGCTCTTTTCCATTGCCAATTTAAAAGTGTTATCTCATAGTTTTACTTGTATTTCTTTCTTTATGAAGAGGTTGAGAGTCCATAGTCTTTTTTTAAAAAAGTTTGCCAGAAAGTGCATGCACTTGCCAGAGAGAGACAGAGAGAAAGCAAGAAAGCACCCCACATGGGACATGGTCACACCACAATCTACTCTCCTCCATTTCTCTCCCTTCCTTTGGGATTTTGAGCATGCACACAGATGTGCCCATTGTGTTTTTCAGGCCACTGGGCCTGGGATTTGAACTGCATGGTTGACTATGTGAAATCTAGCCACCTTAACCACCAGACCACAGGCTGGCCCAACCATCTTTTTATGTATTTAAAAGTCCTTTGTATTTTCTTTTTCTATGAACAGCTTGTTTATATTTTTTCTTGTTTTATCATGGGATTGGTATTTTTTATTGACTTTTTTTTTTTTTTGGAGAGGTTTTAGCTATAGGGCGTGTACACTCGCCAGCAAGAGAGAGACAGAGAGACAAAAAGAGAGAAATTACTCCCCAGGGGGATGGCCACGCCTCAATCCCTTCTACTCCATTCTCATTCTCCTCTTGGGATCTTGGCACAGACACACACACATACACACACATGCACCCAGAGCGAGTTTAAGCCACCGGGTCCAGGACTCGACCCGCAGTTGACTACATGGGAGTCCAGTGACACAGCCATTACACCAACTGCTGGTCTCTCAAGATCTTTGAACGTATAAGGGGAATTCATCCTATGTAATATAAGATGCAATTTTTTTCATTTGGTCATTTGCTTTAGCTTACATTGAGTTTTGTCAAATGGAAAGGTTTTATTTTGAGAGACAGAGAGACAGGAAGCAAGAAATCACCCCCCCGGGGGGATTGCCACGCTGTGATCCCTTCTCCTCCATTCTCCTCTTGGGATCTTGGGCACGCACGCACATGCACCTGGCGTGAGTTTTAAGCCACCAGGTCCGGGACTCGAACTGCGGTCAACTACATGGGAGTCCAGTGACATGGTCATTATGCTAATTGCTGGTCCCAAGGTTTTCATTTTCATAAAAGCTATGTATTACCTTTGTCAGCCTTAATTACATGGTGTATGGCACCAGGCCTGAATTGATTCAGTGGGCAATTGGTCTTACTAACAAGTGTAATGATTTGTTTAACGGCTACAGAGAGCAGAGATTTGTAAATGTTTTCTGTAAAGACCAGATAGTAAATATTTTGGATTCTGTGGGCAATAAGATCTCTGTTTTAACTACTCAGCTCCACCACTGCAGTGTGAAAGCTGTCATTTGACAATACATGAGTGAGGCTGTGTTCCAATAAAACTTTATTTACAAAAATGGGTTGAGGGTGGATTGGGTCCATGGGCCATCATTTACTGACCCCTCGCACAGAGGTAATTAGGGGCCTATCCTAGTCCAGTCTGTGTGTCTCACTGCCTCTATATTTGGTGTCACCCTCAGTCTACCCCACATTAGCCAGAAGATCACTTCACTTTATTCACTTGTGGGTCTCCATCTTCTCACTGCTGATTCACCAGTTGATCAGCAGAGACTTACCAAGTTTCCCAGTCTGGAACCAAAAAGTCAGGTCTCCATTCAGTTTGTAGGCAGCCCATAGATTCTTCATGTTATTTTTTAGAGAGAGAGATTTTTGCTATAGGGTGTGTGCACTCAATAGAGAGACAGAAGTGTCTCAGGAGGTGGCCATGCCGCAATACCTAGGGAGAATGGCCACATTGCAATCACTCTTCCTCCATTCTCCTCTTGGGATTTTCAGCATGCACACAAACACACATACACCCAGTGTGAGTTTGAAGCCACCGGGTCTGGCACTCAAACCGTGACTGACTACATGAGAGTCTAGTGATTACACCATTACACCATCTGCTGGTCCCAGCCCATAGATTCTTACGTTTCATAGCTGATGTGGTCACCCCATTGCTGCTCTTTGCTAGCATCTCAGTCAATGAGCCACTCAGCATATGGACATGCTGTAGTAATGGGGAAAGGGATTCCGGACATGTCCTTACAGGTGTCAGGAAAATGGAACAAGCTACATGGGAATTCCCATCCGACAGAGCCCATCCTTAGCCCCTTCCATACCCAAGTCAAGGCTTGTCTTCTAAAACCAGTTCTTACTCCTCTCTTATACACAAGAGAAAACCTAATAATGTATTAAGTTAGTAAGAAAAACAGTATAAAGATCATATGGTTATTAACCTGCATAATGAAAAATATTGCTTATTAACTTTATTAACTTCTCTACAATAGAATTTTCCTAGCATTGGACAGTACTTCATCTTAAACAAGGGCAGGCCAACAATGTTAGTTTGGGATAAAATGTGATTGAGCAATACATTGGCTAGTTCCTCATCTTTAAGAATTAGGGACCGTGGGGACCAGCAGATGGTGTAATGGTTATATCGCTGAACTCCCACATAGTCGACCGCCGTGTGAGTCCTGGTCCCAGTGACTGAAAATTCACATTGAGTGCGTGTGTGTGCATGTCCAAAATCCTGAGAGGAGAATGGAGGAGAAGGGATTGCATTGTGACCATCCCCCGGGGGATGATTTCTCTCTTTGTCTCTGTTTCTCTGGGGAGTACATGTGCCTTATAGCGAAAATCTCTCTTGTAAAAAAAAAAAAAAAAAGAAAATGAACTAGGGACCCTTTTAGGGTTACTTTTTAGAACCCCAATCTATGTAATTGGTGCCCAAAAAGGCATTATTTTAACTGGCATCAAGGTCTTATGAAAATAATTCTTCTGGGACCCATAGCATTTTATATTAGGTACATGATAAATAATAATAATCTCTTTCCTTTTTACCTGGCCAAAAAAAAGTCAACTTTTCTTTTTCTTTTGCTGCAGCTGTTACATAATGTAGAAAAAAGTCTAAAGTACTTCTACAATTCATTAAAGTCAGTTTGTCTTTAACATTTATGTTTCTTTATAGGAAAATAATTTTTCTTAGGATACAGAAATATCAACAGTTGTTACAAGATAATTAATAACAACAACAAAAGGACCAATAACAAATACACCCTCAAAATGTAAAGGGCCGGGAACCAGCAGTTAGCGTAATGGCTATGTCGCTAGACTCCCACGTAGTCGACCACGGTTCGTGTCCCGGACCCGGTGGCTTCAAACTCACGCCGGGCGCGTGTGTGTGCGTGCCCAAGATCCCGAGAGGAGAATGGAGGAGAAGGGATTGCGGCGTGACCATCCCCCCTGGGGGGTGATTTCTCGCTTTCTGTCTCTATGTCTCTCTCTGTCTGGCTGGCGAGCGCACGCGCCCTACAGTGAAAATCTCTCCAAAAAAAAAAAAAATGTAAAGAGCCAGGGCCAGCAAATGATGCAATGGTTACATCGCTGGACTCCCGCATGGCCAACTGTGGTTCAAGTCTTGGACCCAGAGGCTTTCAACCCACACCTGGTACATGTCTGTGTGTGCCCAAAATCCAGAGAGGAGACTGGGGGAAAAGGGACTGTGGTGTGGCCATCACCACTAGGAGGTGATTTCTCACTTTCTGTCTTTCTCTCTCTGTCTCTCAGTGAGCACATGCACCCAATAGCAAAAATCTCTCTTTAAAAAAAATGTACAGGGCCAATATTTTCAGCCCTCATTTTCTTCTTACAGCCCTCAACAAATATCTCTTGAGCTCCTTCTATTGCAGCATCTGTGCTAGACTCGAGAATACAGTGTTGAGCAAAAGAGACGTGGCCCTGCCCTCACAAAACTCAGTGTAGATGATGGGACACACATCGATTACATAATCTCTCAACATCTTAAATGCCAGCTGTGAAAGAGACCATAGAGGGAAGAACGCAGGACCACGGGCCAGGTTTACTGGACAGGAGAGGGAAGGTCCACCTGAGGAAGTGATTCTGGGAAGCAAGGAGGGACGGAAGCAGACAGGCAGCTGAGAGTGCACTGATAGGTTGTGCCTGGAAAGAGGGGGTATGGCCCCAGGGAGGAGAGAGGTCAGAGAGGCAAGTAGGGTGGGCCCAGCAGAGCCCTGAAGACTTCTTTTGAATTTTGCTATAGGGCATATGTGCTTGCCAAAGAGACAGAGAGAGAGAAATCAAGAAATTACCCCCCTCAGAGGGGGTGGCCACACTGCAATCCCTCCTCTTCTATTCTCCTCTTGGAATTTTGGAAACACATGCATGCACCTGGCATGAGTTTAAGTCTCTGGGTCCGGGACTTGAACTGCAATAGACTGACTACATGGGAGTCCAGCAATGTAAACATTATGCCATCTGCTGGTCCTGCCTTGAAGAGTTCTTAAAGATTCCAGTTTTTATTCTAAGAGCAGAGAGCAGCCAGGGAAAAGCGAGATTTTCAAATATGCATGTATAAAGATTATGCTGGCTGCCCTGTGGAAATGGATCCAAGGTTTGCAGGGAGTAACTCAGGAGGCTGATCTGGAGGCCACTCTGCTATTCA